TTAGCAACTACGCTGCTTCTTCTTCTTCTTGTTTCCTACTGGTGGTTGGCTTTGGGCGCAGTAGCGCCCCCTTCTGCTCTGGAGTGTAAACGCTTCCCTCTGAGAAAAAGGAGCAGCGCATGAACCGAACGCAACACACGCGAATCGAACCGAGACAGTCGAACCGAACGGTTCGGACGGTTTTCAGAAACCATCCCTATTGACCATCAGTTTCCTCTTTAGCCTTTTAGCCTTCGACCCGGCCGTTTCCGTGGGAACTCACCAGTCGGAGGGGGAGACGGCGTAGTAGACGGGCAGCTGGCTGGAGGCGGAGAGACAGCCGAACTCCACGAGGCCGCAGGCCCCCATGTTGGAAAAGAGGAGCCAGTCTCCCACGCCGAGCTCGGGCAGGAGGCAGCGCTCCAGGACCAGGTCCAGGGGGTCCAGCGAGGGGCCCCGCAGGCTGCTGGGAAACACGGGCTCCTCCGGGCACAGCGAGGGCTGCACAGGGGAAAGAAACAGGTGTCAAACAGCTCACAAAGATCACCGTTAAAACCATGTGTAACACTGGACTTTTCTGGAAAAAATAACCTGTATATTAAAAGGGCAAACAGGACCTTTTTGAGTCTATCTGGATTTCCTTCATTGAATACGTCAAGCATTTGAACATCTCAGAAGAGATGATTTGCTTAAGGACATATACTGTTAAACTTAATTTTCAATATAAAGAGGTTAAGTCCTCTCTCTTAATACTGAGAGAGGATATTTGTTTGTATTTTATTTTGACCTGAACAAGTAACAATACTACTACTGTTGTAATATTTTGTATATTGTTCAAGTTGTTCATTTAAGCTGCTAAAAATGTAACAAATATATTTTTGAAAAAAAAAAAAAAAAAAAAGACTTAATAGGAAATGCACCCTGATGCTAACACACCGTTTACCCCAGACGTAATTTAATCGCTTTGGAGCGACTGCAGTCTGAGGTCTGTGCAGGAGAAATCTCTCCCACAATCCATAAAGGAATTACACACAAAAAAAGAGAAATAAAACCCAACCCAACACAAAGAAAACTAAATCCAGCTCTTGTGCTGTTCCCACTTGGTCGCATGACTTAAAGAGCTGAAGCACTGAATTTCAAACAGGTCATGGAGATGATGCAACCGCTAGTTGCTAAGTACTGAAAACAAACAGAATCATGCTGGAACAAGACTTTACTTTTTTATTCACTTTATAGAGGAGAGTGATCTGTTTTCCTTTAAGAAGAGAAGGATTTAGAAAATACTTTTTACAGGGAACATATCTAACTCTATGTGGCCAATAAGAACAAACTGGACATTAGCAAACTGTGGCTCACTAAAATGTAAAGTTTTTTCCATTCAACATCTCAAAAGCTTTAGTTAAATGACCCCAATTGAATCAACGTTTGTTTTAATGTACCCAACACTCTGTATTTATAAAAAGGGTAAAAATAGATGGCATTTAACAAGAGGCTGAAATAGATTCCAACAAAAAGAATGAAATATGTTTGTTTTGTCTCAACAACTTAGAATAAAACAGTTTCTTTGATTGGGTCGAGATGCTTTCTGATCCAGCTCTGTTCTGCTTTCTTAAGGCTTCTTAATATGTGACCCCCTCTGGCACCAGTCGTCTTAGACAGGGCTCAGAAAGCGACGGGTTTCTGGGCTGGAGCCCCACTGACCTTGTGCACTGACGGGACAGAGATGCCGTGTCCCAGCAGCTTGCGGCTGAATGGACCATAAACTCCCTCATTCATGTAGTAGAGGAACTCGGTATCTCCATTCTTCTCATCTGTGTGCGCACATAAATACACATTTAGAAACCATGTCAGAAATATGGAACAAGTACAAACCTCTATATTAGTCCCGAGTATGTTTTAAAAAATGTATACGTTTGAAAGAATATAGTAGCCGAGAGATCCAAGTGTCTCACCATGAGTTTGGGAGTCCCAGCAGTGGCTCACAACCTTCTTGCCAATAACATTCACAGCCAGAGTGAAAGCTGATGCCACGTAGAAGCTGCCCGGCTGGGCCAACACTTGAACACCCGACAACTCTGGGAAGTAAGCGTCCAGCAGTGGCCTGACGGCAGCCTCCACCTGCAGACAGAGGGATGACAGCCGGGTGGTGGGGTTAGTGGGAGGAATGCCAGGCCTCCAAAAAGTATTGGTCTCTAATAGGATAGGATCTTTTTATTCAATATCATAGTTTTATTTAAAAACAAATAATCAGATCATGAGAACTTTTTGATGCTTCTAAACAACACTGATGACCTACCAAGACTTTACATCTAAAAAATAGCAGTAGTTTTTCCTAAATCTGTGTTGGTCTTTGCCAATTCTATGCATAGCAAGTGTCTTTTTCTATTTCTGTTGTTTAAAACTGAAACCACACACCTGTTTGAGCTGAAACTCTGAACCAGTGAAGCCACCGCCGATGTCCAGGATCTGCATGTTGAAACCCAAATCCACCTGAACAGAGATGCCCAACAGACACTTATTACTACGAATGGGTAATTTATATCAACAACAACAAAGGTCCAAGAGACAGCAACGAAAAAACAACAAGCTGCTTGAGTCAAAAGATGTGTCCACCAGCACGCACCCCCATGTCGAACACACAGCGAGCGTCGGACAGAGCGTGTCGGTAGGCCTGCTGCTGATCCTGGCAGGAGCTCGGGATGTGGAAGGTGGCTCCGACCACCTGCACACCCAACTCCTTGGCCTTCTCCAGGAGGTGCCGGCAGCTCTTCAGAGAAAAGCCAAAGGCCATGCTGGTCTCAGCTGCCTGGGCCTCAGTAGTCAACTGCAGCAGCAACCTGCAAAAACAGGAGAAAACATCGGTGTCTTTATGCGTTTGACTTAACCAAAGCCGAGCACAAAAACCAGCGCGTAAAAAATACAGCACTTGTAATGCAGTGGACGAGGGCTAAAACTTTTAAAAAGTTTGACGACTTACTTGGCAGTAGGGTGCAGACGGGCAATCTTGGACAGCTCGGCCTCATTTTCGCACACAAAGTGCTGGACGTTGTTCTTGGCCGCGTGCTTGATGTGCGCCAGCTGCTTGAACACACTGGAGAAGATGATGCTTTCTGGTGGCACGCCATGCTCCAGGACCAGGCTCACCTCACCCTGGGGCACAAGGACACGGGTTTCAGGAGAAAATTATGAAACTCGGTCGGAAATCCCCATTCAAATGATCAAAAAAGCACCATGCGAGTTACATAAGTTTAAAGGATAACAGGCAGCTGACTAGTAATCAATTGAGTGATTGTGATGTAATTGCCCTAAAACGAGTGCTTTCATAAGAGGATGAAGCTCTGTGCAGCATATATAAATGAATAAATGGGAGCTACCATAACTCGACTCTGCTGAACTAAAAGCTCACCTTGTTGGCACAAACAAAGCCGAGGCCCAAAGAGGCCAGGACCTCGATGACCGCGGGGCTGCTGTTGCACCTGACGGGGAAGTAGGGCTGCACCCGGGGCAACACGCTCTGCCAGCACACATGCTGCCGCATCAGGGCCCCCAGGTCGCCCACCACAAACGCACTCTTCTCCACCTTTGAAAGAGCAAGCAAGAGATGTGCCGTGAGACAACAGAGCTCAGGGTGAAGCAGTGACGACAGAATGCTTTCAAAACTTATCCGAACTGACCAGAGCCTGTTCGTAGATGTGTCCGTCAATGACATCTTCCAGAGTAACTCCTCCCTCCAGGAGTTCAACGATGTAGCTGGGAGTATCAACAATTCCTTTCATCCTAACAGTATTTCACAAATCCGATGATCGTAGAGAAATGATTATCAGGTCAGGGGTCACGACTGAGCCAATGGGGTCCTGCCGGTATGCAACAAACTAAAGAGACAAAAAGGAGAAATGATTAACCTCCAAGAACACATTGACTTCTCTAGGTTATATAACTTGATCATTTGTTTTTGGATTGTCAAATTAAGATTTTTTTCTTTTAAACTTTCTAAAAACAAATCCACAAATATTTCAGATTTGAAATGGAAAGCTCAAAATTTGTATTCAAAACTACACAACAACAGCTGTAAACGTCTTTATGATGTGGACGGATGTGGGATACTGACATGGACAAGTCAGGAGATGGACTTGTCCCGTTATCAGCTAGGATCCCAAGGCGGCTCAGCGTTGAAGTCAAAGTGCTCCCGGTAAAGGGCGGCCCCTAGGCCCTCTGGGTAGCGCTCATACACCTGTGCAGAGACAGGGGAGCCCTGAGGACGAAAACATACAATGTTAAAACTAAACTAAAGAAATTCCACATAATTATCACATTTCAAAACATTTCACTAAAAGTTAACCAAATGAATTCCATATGATCACATACGTTTCATTTATCAAAAGGCAAATTCACTCAATGTCTGCAAGTCCCTCTCATTGCAAAGTTAAGGTTGTGTTGTTGAAATGTATTTTTTCCCCTGTGAAGACACATTGATCCCTTACAAAATCTTACAAAAGGAAAGCTGTGTTAATTCTCGATTACATTTACTAAGACGGAATGGAGATATCGGTTTAGTGAATAAATAATTAACCGGAAAGAGACCTTGTCGGTATTTACACGCTTGTGATAACCAGCGAACAGCTGTAAAGTACAAAGCGCGCATGCGCTGTAAGTGAAAAAATTGACTGACAACTTGACAAATTAGATATTAATTCAATGCGTCACCAAAGGCTAAAATCCCAACGTTACGGCAAAACCCACGTACGGTATTCATTTAATAACAAAGAACTGAAGCTGCGCCGATCTCAAAAAACGCCGTTTAGAGAAAACAAAGCTAGCCGGAGTCGCTAACGTTGGGCTGGCTGTCGAAAGCCTGCCGACCGGGGAGGGCTGTTAGCTCCATGTTACGGATATAAAGCCTCAAACAAACGTCGACACAAGCTCAAAACACAAACAAACACTAACGTAAGGTCCCTGTTGATGGCCTCGATACGTAAAACAACAAAAGGCTGGGATAAATAAAGAGGAAATCGCGGAACTGAATGAATCGGTCTGTCATGTGCAGCGAGACGGCAGACAGTTCAGCCCGCCATGTTACGTCCAACGGCCGAATCCCCGGAACTCAACCGTTAAGCCGTACTTACGTGAGATAACGGCCAGAAGGTTTTGGAAAATCGTCTTCTCTTTTTCGGCGGAATTTTTAAAGAGTAGTGGGCACAATAATAAAAGAAAGGAAGAGGGCTGTTTTTGCCATATGCTTTGAAGACAAACGCGCGTCGCCTCGGAAGCCACTTCTCTGTCTGTCGGTGGGTGGAGAACTACTGGAACTGGGGCTGGGGAAGAGGAAAAGGTAATCAACGGTCAGTGGGCGGGGCCTCGCGTTCAGTTCGACCAATGAGCGCTCTGCATTTTTTACTACTTGCCAAATATGTATTTCCGACTGTCGTACAGTCCGCAGTAGATCTGTCATGTTTATTCAGGTTACATAACCGTGAACTTTCCATAGATGGCAACACAGTCAATCAGCCAAACTGTACATCTTGCCTGTTTTCTTGGGTTTAGTTCATGCAGCTGCAATAGTTCATATGGGGAGGATGACCCCTTAGCTTTAACCCCTTAGTTTTCACTTTAACAAGAAAAACTTATTTAATTAAATACTGAAGCAACTTCAAAACAAATCTTTGTCTTGAATCTGAATGCTCTACCCGGCTTTATAATGCACTAAAAACAACTCTTTCATGTATTGCAGTTAAAATGTAATCAAGTTTACTGCACAATTGCTTTTAGTTCATGTCCTGCAACTGAAACTGGTTAAAACTGCTGTGAATTATGTATCTTTGTCTAAATGGGGAACTATCTGTTTTGTACCATGCATATCATGTCATAACAGCTTTGAGAATTCAGTGAAACATTAGTGACAAAGGAATAAATTAAAAGAATGTGTAGTCTCTCAGGTCCATAGTTCAGCCTGTCTTTAAATGCCTTCGGGCCTTTTCCTTTGTGAATTGAAGACTGTACAAATATGGAACAGTTTTAACTATCAGGCTGCCAGCAAGTATCTTTGCTTTGATGGTAAAGCCCAACACCTCATGGGATTTTTCATTCTCATAAATCTGAACACTGACTCTCTTTAGACAGGATTTGTGATGGGATATAGTTTTTTGCCATAGTCTCTGTCAATCAAAGTTCCTTGATTTTTTTTAAACAGTGCAAAGTCCACATAGATTTTTTTTAAGCAAATATTTTCCTAATTTAAGATGTTATTATTTTTTATGACATCTTCTCTTTAGGAACCTTTCATTCTTCAACTTTTTCTTCAGATTGATTTTTTCAACTTGGACAAAAGACAAAGTGTCTGCTTGGAAATTCACACGAGAATCTGTGAGAACTGCAGAAAATTCAATTTTGTGCTTTAGTTCTGCTGAGTTTAGACAAATGCTTGCACTGTCCTCTGAAGGGAAGTAAGTAAATACATTTAATTCGCAACCAGAAGTAACAGATATAAAGAAATAACAGCATAAATAACCAATTTCCTAATCCTCCAATACACCCCACAAGTGAAAGAAATACTGACATTATCCTGAAACCTTAAAGGTCACAGCACTGAGACTGAGACACAGTGTTTGTCTCTTATTAACAGATTAAAAATATTTTCCTGTGACTTGTCTAGCAGAGGATCAAGCAACCAGAAATAACCGGTCTGCAATAGGTAGATTTTGATCACATGTGATTCAAAGAAAAATAATACTTCAAATCAGAGAGAAAATGGTTGTATCAGATAAATCAATGTTTATTTTCAGTATTAGCTTAGTCAAAATTGCAGATACAGAAATATTTTGTATAAACTAAAGTTGTTTCTGTGCAACACTGGTGTAAATCTGTTAACGTACCGAAATAATCAACTGATATATGGCCAAATATCCCATCAAACAGGCTTTAAGTAGTATGATCTAAGAAGGAATAAAAGTAGAGGTGTTTTTTTTAAGAGCTGAGGGGTCAGTAAGAGCAGCAGTGTTGACTAAACCGCTCTGAGGTCACGTGACCGGAGTGTTGCGCAGGGAGGCTTTGCGCAGACTCAGAAGAGCTTCCCTGGTCAGCTGACTGTGAGTGAGATGTTCAGTTGAAGGACCACCGACTCCAAAAGCTGCCGTTTGTGCCCACCGTGTCAGGAGCTGCCCCTGTTTGACTGAAGAGGAGCTTGTTGACCAAACGTTAGAGCCCGTCAACGAACCGGTGAGTCCGGAAAAGCCTCGATTTTAAATGTCGTGACGGCGCGAGCCTGCGATGTTAAACAAGCTTCTGTCAGCATCAAGCTAACAGCAAGTCTGACCCATAGACATATACACATATACGTATATATGTCTATGGTCTGACCGTTTATGGAGTAGCCCTGTTACGACAGTCGCCACCGAGTTTTTAAAACCAGCAAAAGAGTCGCAGTTGGTGGTAATGGTGCCTTCACGGCCTTTAATTAAACGGGGATCTCCGGGTAGCGTCCGGCCGCTGCAGGACGGTGGTCATATGACCGTCTTTCAGCAGACACGGAGGCTTGCCTGTGTCCTGTTACAGCCTGGGCTGCTGAGAAATGAGAGGAAGTGCATGCACAGTAGAGGCCAAAAGCAGAAGAAGGAGTCCTAATGCCACAGTTGGGTCCAGTAACGAGGAGGAATAACTCTGTCATCTGGAAAAGTAATGCTTTACGAAGTCCAGTTAGAAACAAGAGCTGTGCTTCAGGGCTTCATAATCCAGAACGACACATTACACTAAAAAGAGTCATATTTGAATTCTTACATTAAACAGGAATGAAGGTCTGGTTCTCAGAGAGGAAGAAGAGCTGCCAGTGACCAGTACGATCAGTCTGAACTGACCACGGTTTCTCTCTGCTGGACACTTCTCTGTAAATCACAGAGATGGGTGAACATAAAAATGCCACCAGATCAGCAGTTTCTGAACATTTTCATTCAATTGCAGCTACAAAAGGCATGTAATCTGTTTAACTAATCTTAATTTACCGAATAATATTCATTCAGACAGATGTTCCTTCAACAGTTAGTACAGAAGAAGCGTGAAGTCTTAAGGATGAGAGTCCAAATGATAAATACTACAGAAACCACCCACAGTGTGGTAGTGCTACATGCTTACTTGTTTAAAGTGCTTCAAGATGACTGAATTATAAAAAATCAAAACCAATCTTAGGCACAGTAGTCCAGAAAAGGGATGTCCCGATTCAGCTTTTTTCACTTACGATCCGATCCCGGCCTATCAGAGCATGTGTTAAAGTTTTGGGTTATTTAGCCTACTTACTTAGTTGTCAGACTCATGTTGAACAGGGATTTACTCTGATAACAACTTAATGGTTAGGACACAGACCTGTGGGTCAGGAGATGCTGATGCTCGTTTCTTTTAAAGAAAACTGGATCTGTAGTCTGGATCTGCATTTTCTCCTGTCGGCCGATACGCATTTTTTTGCAAATATCGGCGGCCGATCCGATCCAGATATCGGATCGGGACAAGCCTAGTCCAGAATGAAGATCTGTAACTGGACAGAGTCGCTTTATCTCCGGTCGGTCTCACCCTTTCCCCTCAGGGACGTCCTAACATCAGCGGTCAGGTGGAGAAACGTCCTGCCAGCAGCCATGACAGAATTCTGGTTGATCTCCGCCCCGGGGGAGAAGACCTGCCAGCAGACCTGGGACAAGCTGATGGTGGCCACCACCCGCACCAACAACCTGTCCACCAACAACAAGTTCAACATCCCCGACCTCAAGGTGATGGCCGCCCCCCGCCCCCCCCCCCTGCGGCCTCTCTGATCTCTGACCTCTGACCTGTGCTTTGCCTCCCACAGGTGGGGACGCTGGACGTTCTGGTGGGTTTGTCGGACGAAATGGCTAAGCTGGACACATTTGTGGAAAGGTAACAATTACAGCCATTGTTCATCTCTAGCAAGTTCATCTCTACCCTCTAAATGCTTTAAATTACATTTAAATCTACGGTACGGTCATATAAAAAGTCGCTAATCTTAAACAAAACATTGGCGACTACATAATAAAAACGAGAATATTCTTAATTAAAAATTTGCATTTGAGGCCATAGAAGACCCTCCCTGGTCATTTTTGTATTAACATTTAATGGCAGTGTTCATAAAACAAAACTCTTATTGCTATAATTACTGCTATCGTTATCATTAGTATCAATATCATAGCCATTTTCCATCCAGTTTATGTGTTACTGTGTAGGCTGCCTCTCTCCACTCCCTCTCTCTCTCTTGCCCTCTCTCTCTTTCTTGCCCTCTCTTTCTCTCACCCCTAACCGGCCGAGGCAGATTCCCCCCCACCCTGAGCTATGGTTCTGCTCCAGGTTTCTGCCTGTTAAAAGGAAGTTTTTCCTTGCCTGTGTCGCCTAGTGCTTGCTCTTGGTGGGAATTGGTTGGGCTTCTGTAAATAACTACTGGTCTGGTCTGAGCTTCTCTGTTTGGAAAGCGTTGTGAGACAGATGTTGTTGTGATGTGGTGCTATATAATTAAAATTGAATTGAATTGAATTGAATTAACAAAAAAAATAAAAGCCAAATTTGGCGCGCATGTTGGACAGCAGGTGGTTTGTTGAAATGACAGAGGGTTGCTGAAGAGCCTGGCTGTGTTTCTGTGCCCTCCTGTGTGCAGCGTGGTGAAAAAGGTGGCTCAGTACATGGCCGACGTTCTGGAGGACAGCCGAGACAAAGTGCAGGAAAACCTGCTGGCCAACGGAGGTAATTAACGCCAAGCCCAGAGCCAGACACCTTCTGGGAAACGGGCGGATTGATGATGATTAATGCTGAGAACCTCTATGTGGTGTCCTCTTCTGTAGTTGACCTGGTCACCTACATCACCAGATTTCAGTGGGACATGGCCAAATATCCCATCAAACAGTCTCTGAAAAACATCTCCGAGATCGTTTCAAAGGTACCCGGAAAAACCAGTTCCGTGCTTGTGTTGATTGTACATCACTAATCTGAACGTTGCCTTGTTCCAGCTTCTTCTTTTCTCTGATCCTCACCAAAGTGAGACATTTTCACTTTATTTGACTTGTTTTTCTAGCAAGCGACTCAAATAGACAACGACCTGAAGGCCAGAGCTTCCGCTTACAACAATCTGAAAGGAAACCTGCAGAATCTGGAGAGAAAGAACGCGTGAGTACAAATAAAACTTGTGTTTTTAAAATTAAAAACCATGAAGACAAAACATGGAATGGCGCACTGCTCACAGTTATCTCCGGTTCCACCAAGAGTGAACAGAGCTTCATCTTAGAGACATCAGCAGTTCCTATTTGTGTAATGTGTATTTTTTTCAATTCCATTTAAAGGCTTTGCTCCATTTTCTCCAAGTACTGACCCATGTGAATCCCCTACAGGGGGAGCCTGTTGACCAGAAGTCTGGCTGACATTGTGAAGAAGGAGGACTTTGTCCTGGACTCAGAGTACCTGATCACCATGCTGGTGGTCGTCCTAAAGTAAGAAGAACTCCCACAGCATTAGTCGCTAACCCAATATTTTGCGAGCCGGGGTCAACAATACAGATACAGTGGGGGAAATAAGTATTTGACCCCTCGCTGATTTTGCAGGTTTGCCCACTTACAAAGAATGCAACGATCTATAACTTTAATCATATGTACATTCTAACAATGAAAGACAGAATCCCAAAGAAAATTCCAGAAAATCACATCATATGAATTTATCAAAATTGATAACCATCTGATGAGGAAAAATAAGCATTCTTTGTAAGTGGGCAAACCTGCAAAATCCGCAAGGGGTCAAATACTTATTTCCCCCACTGTATATCAGACTCTTCCTGTATCTGCTGCTCCTCGTTTTTGTTTAATCCTAAATGAAGTTGTGAACTCTTGTGATTTTTGCCAGTTTGTGAGTTCATGTAATTGGCTTTTTAGATTATTATTATTTTTTTTAATATGTTTGTGAAGCAGAATGTGTTTAATCTTGCCCCCCTGACCAGGACCAGCTATGCAGACTGGCAGAAGACCTATGAAACTCTGTCCGAGATGGTTGTCCCACGCTCCACCAAGTAAGTCCCCATCACATGACCCCCTTAGAGATGAATGGACGATGACTTCCATCTTTTCCTCTGTTTGCTTTGTGTTGACTCTTCTCTGACTCAACACACCACAACTGACCCACAAAAAGAGACCCAGCCGTGTGGGGCTGTAAGAGGTCGACCTGTGGGGGGGCAGCCGGCCTTCTGTCGGCACAAATAAGTGATTTCAGACATTGTTTTCAGGCTCTTGTGCAGACGGGGCTGCATTGGGTTGCGGTAACCTAGCAACCAGCGGCCATTTTCAGAGCAGATGGACAACTGTCTGTTGGTGTGATCTTGAACCAACAATCCACAGACGAGTTCTTTTATTTTATTCTTTTGGGAGTTTCCTTTCTTTGGTTGTTGTTCTTAAAATAAAACATAAGATGTTCTTATTCTAGAGATACATTTCAGCCTCTGAACCGATGGGTACTGGAAGCTGCTGCTTCTCTTTTTTATGACTGGAAATTGATTAGTTTTCCATTTAAAAAAACAAAACAAACACAGTTAAAACACAATTTAACACATGATAAACAGTGGACAGACCTTGTGGACTCTTGGAACACAAACCAGAACAGTTATCAAATTTTTAATTATTATTATTATTATTATTATTATTATTATTATTATTATTATTATTATTATTATTA